CTTTAACCCACCTTAAAGGGCAAGCAGGAAATTCATGTTTTCGTTCATCAGCCCATCCCTCTGAAAAGCGTTCGATATTAAAACAGTTTTCAAGGAGCAAAAGCAGAGGAAACAAGAGGCCCAGCTAGACTGTAGCAAGGTTAGAAGATACACGCAAGATTGCCTGCAACACACATCGGGTCTTGTTCCTGTCCAGTATTTGCATGGAGATATCAAGTTAATTAGGGTAGGACTCTGATCTTCGCTTTATATGTGACCTTTTATTATATCTGTGGTTCTCTAGTTCATATGGTGTCATAAAAGCTATGGGAAAGTCTTTCTAGTGTTTGACACAAACTGGAAAATAAATAAGCATTGATATTCCCTTTGCCTGAAGGTTTTTACAGCAGCAAAATACTGCAGAGGCAAAGTTGATATTGTGGTAGATTTGCTGCGGGTATAAGAATGTTTCTTTTGTCTTTTGGCTCCTGCTTCCCCGGATGATGATCAGGTGCGACCTAGAGAGTTGCGGAGAGGAATGGGGTATTGGTTGGGGAGGGGGTGCGGGTTGGTTCAGGAGGAGGTTACATGGCAGAATTCCCACGAATGCTGGCGAAGGATGAAAAAGATAAAGAAATCTTGTTTTTCTCAACGAGAGGATTCTCTGCATGACTTCCCCACTGTTGGGGTGATGAGCTTTCAGGCTGAGATTTTATTAACAATTCATATGGAGATTGAGGGCAGTGGAGGAGCAGATTCTCACATAAACTTGATCTGTCCATGAATGCAGTTCTCTGTTTGCCCTGACCCTGCATGGCTTAAGACATTGCCTGTGAGGCCAGTGTGCCAGACACAAAGAAAGAAATGAAAAGCAAGCACATTCCAGGAGTCTGCACAAAGGAGCCCAGCAGTTTCTAGTCGTCTCCCCAGAGAGGATCTTATCTCTGCACAGTCAAAAACCTCTAAAATGTTTATTTGTGTACTTAAAGTTTTAAAATCCATGTGGCTGTTCATTAAGCAAGAGTCTGTAGAGAGGTTTTGTTGGGTTTTAAAATTTTTGTTTTCTGAACTTGTTGAAACTGGAAAAATACTTGCAAGGGTACATATTCTGAAGTTTAGCTTTAGAAGCTACTGGCCTTGAATTGTTTTTACTTTGTCAATTGGTAGGTAGCCTGCAAAATGAGTCCTTTCCAGCTTTGGGAGAGGCCAGAACAACATCTTAAATCTTGATTTGACTTCCTAATACATCCTGACACTGCAAGCTCTGAAACTTGTGGCAGAGAGTTAATGCATGAGAGGAAACTGACATGGGATCATAAGTGGACATCCCTATGCTCATGAGTACAGATCACAGTGCTACATTCAAAAAACCATGGAAGAAGCAAGTGCAGAGAAAAGTTTGAGTGAGATGAAAGAGTGAGGGAAACTAGGAACTTCTAACGTTATAACGTTTTTGCGATTATTGGCTGTTCACTGTATCTATAAGCATTATAACAGGATAATGACAAGCTCTCAGAAAACATTTCTCTGTAGCTTAGTATAATAGGTTTTATTTTTTGACAAATGCATTGTCTGAAAGTATGACATCTTTAGGTTCAGGAGATAAAAACTTGATATACATATTTCTGCTGCTCAAATACGTGTTTCCACAGATACTTAAAATTCAGAAAATCCAGATACACAGGCTTTTGAATTTTGCATATGTGTTTAGCTGTTCAAATTGCTTCAAACTTTTATGGTTCATTAATTAAATAACCAGTAGAGGAATGCAGGCAAATGCCATTAATTATGATAGGTTTTGTTCCTTTCATTTTATAGTGGTTTTATTTCCATGAAATTAACTGTTGTACTTAGGCTAATTGTCAGTAATTGGTGACAAAATCACTTCATTGTTTTTCTATAGCATGATACTAATTAGGATCTTTGCAATATTGGCCCAGCCATGTTGTGTATTTTACCTTCTGTGTTTAGTCAGTGGTAGATAATATCAAATGCAACTTTTTAAGAGATCCATGAGATAAAACATTTCAATTAATAATTAAACAAGTCTTTTAAACAGCCTGTCATAAATTAATTTTAAAACACCAAGATTGAAGGAAGCTTTTATATTTGGTTTAGTTTGTTTCATGAGATATCAACTAATTTTCCTGATTTGAATTGAATCGTATTGGAATCATCTATGCAATATTATCATTACAAATCTCAACAGCTTAGCCACATGTATTTTTATTATTCTGTTTGTGTAAGTAATGCTAAAATTAGCATTGCTAAAAGCGCTTTTATGAGGTATCACAGAGCTGAATGGGATTGCTTTTCTTTTCATACCTGATGGTTAAATTCTCATAAGATATAGCATATTATTTGGTCTTGTTTTTAACAGTTTTTCCTGTTTCATTTTGCCACATGAGAATGTTTTTCAAAACATTGTATTTCAAATGAATATATATAAAACAGTTGAGATCATGAAAGCTTGGTTTTATGTATTTTTTTCCAACATAAAAAAATGTGTTCCATATAAGTAATAGGTTATAAAGAGAAAAAAAAAAACAATGGGAGGGTATTCTGTTTTGTGAAGTGAGGTTTAACGCCGATGGGAGAAAATATTACAACAGTACTTATTCCATTAAAACAATCACAGCCAGTACTGCTTTGCTCATTTTTTTCCTTAAAAGAATTCTTCTCAACAGATTCCCCTATGATTTTCATGAATTTGTAAGTTATAGAAGTTTTCTAATACTTTGAAGAATAGTCTTCTTGCTTCTCTTTCTTATTCTAAGATGCTTTCACCAATCAAGTGCATTTTACAGTTTATAGCCCACTGTTTTAAATGCATCTGTAATATATAACTTAGAGCAGAGTGTCTCACAATTATCCTGAAAAAAGTTTTTACAAAGCAATTAGAAAAATAATTGCCTATTAAAAGGTTAAGATTGGTTTGAGTAGGGAGAGCAGAAACTGAACTGTGAAACTGAAAGCATTCATTGTTAGAGGAAACATACGCACCAAATCCGAAATTAAAGAAAACTCACAAAATACGTATCTTGGCAAGGGGAATTGTTTGAATTTTCTAAAGCTGTCAGTCCATTTTCTCTATTTTTTTTTTTCCTGTTAAAGAGAAACTTCAAATGGAAAGCTTCACCTTTTGTATAAAGTTGAAATGTTTTATTATTGCAGGATTGTTCTACACTGTATAAAACCAGAACAATTCAATAGCTTCTGGGGGGCCAGGGGATGTGGAAACAAATGAGAATCTTTCTATCATTCTAGAATGCCCACAGCAAAGCAAAAATAAGTATAAAAATCTGTGGTCGTTTCCTTGAGAAAAAGAATCTTTTGATTACAGCAGTTATTTGAATACCCATTCAGGTTCTTTTGTAACATGTAGTAAGTGCACTTCTCCCAAAAAATACTCTTAGGGAACAAAACTCAAACATAAACTATGTTTAGATGCTGCATTTCAATATGTCACCCCATAGGATTAAGCAAAGGTTGTTTTTTTTTTTGCGTGTGCACTAAAAAATAAATTTCCCAAAGTTAATTTACATTTGTTTGTTTTTCATCTTATTGGTATATTTCCAATATGTTTTCTGATTTTTTGTCAGTTTCAAATATATAAAATGCAAAAAATAACAAGTCTGAAACTGACTTCAAATTCTAAAAGTGATAAAGTATTGTGAAAGTTACTTAGAGAAGACAATTTTTCTCTGATTTATCCTGTCATATCACAGACGCTGGAGAATGCAATAAGATGGAGTTATTTTCTCTTTCTTGAGTTTTCTGACTGTTCAAGGAAAATACCAGAAACGAAGTAGGATTCTGGTAATACTATGAGCCACTTCCATGGGCCTCTAAATCCTATAGAAAAAAAAAAAGTAAGTCTAGTTTGCTTCTTACTTGATCATACTTGACAACCATATAGACACTGCTAGGGCCATCATGAGTAGCAGGCAGTACGTTTGACTATTTTGGCCCCAGAAGTCTTTATAATTGTAATCAGTTTCTTCATCAGTCCAAGCTGTGCCAATACCCCTAATTAGGCATAGTGTCATTTTAAAAATTAAAAATAATCCACATTCAACAACATCAACAACAACCACCTCTCAGCCTAAGCTATGTCCTCTGTGTGAACTCACTCTGTGGAGCAGTTGCACCCAGCTCCTGGGCCCTGATTTACTCGGCATACTTCAGGTTAATCAAATTCCCCCACAGTGAGGTGCACACACATTTAGAGGACCAGAGCCCACTCTAATGCTAACTGATTCTGCTGTCATTTTTAATATTTTCATGAGTTTTTTTAAATGATATGTTTGTGCATAGCAGAAATAGCCTGACTTCTTACTGCTAAATAGGCTGTCCACCAACTAAATCAAAGAGCAATAAATGAAATAAAAAATTATAAGATGTAGAAAATATTTAATGCAAGATAGTTTTAGTTTCTGTTGCTCAAAAAAGTTTCACATTCCATGAAACTTGTCTTTTCCCAGGGGTTAAGCTCCTGTAGCACCTGGGAAAGTGAGCAATGACTACATTAAAAAGCGTAAAGCATAACAAAACAGTGTGATATGTTTTGTTTTTACTTATTTTGGAATGTACTAACAATTTCTTATGTCTCACAATAGAGGCATACATGTATAAAGACTTAAAACTACTCTTACTGTGTTCACATTTTCTGGGGCCTTAATGCCATGGTAGACAATATCAATCTGTAACTGGGGCAAATTTACATGACATCAGATACAAGGCCCAGCAAGTCAAAAGTGGATGAAACAGGTTCACTGATGCATGCCATGTGTCTTACCTGGCAGGCAGCCATCAGCTCCTGCTTCAGGTGACCAGTGTCTGCAGGTGAAACCAAACTGTACATTTTGCTCTTAGTGTCTTAGGATGAGTTGTTTTCAGTCATAAATAATGTTTGAAATGTAAGCTCTTTTGCTCTGGAATCCAGGAGCAACCAGCCACTAATGATCATTTTGCAAACTACTTAGTCATCTACCAGCTAAGAAAATAATGATCTCTCTCTTGTTTTTCTGTTAGAGCTGTTAGCATTCATCAACAACCTTGGATGTCCCTACCAACATAGGCTTCACGAGAGACTGTTTTTTGTTTGTTTTTTTTTTTAGTAGCAAAGATAGATTACTTAAGATTTTTTCTCCAAGTATGAACATAGAAAATATAAAATATTCAAGCTCTAAATCATGCTTTGGATATACCTTCTAATTTTCACTTTGAACTACTTGTGATAAAATGTGACATTTATATTTTGTCATATTATCCAATATAATTTTAAAAATAACAGGCACTAATATGTATCATAGTCTTACATTATTATTTAAAATAATAAAAGAATAAAGTGATATAGAATATCTATGTAGGCACATATTTTTCCATGAACGTTACATGCAATGTAAAGATGATATGTTATGAAGAAAGAACAGTCACTTATATGTAATTAAATTTCAAAATGATAAAGAAAAAAATTACTGGAAGGAAGAAAAAAATCTGCCATTCAGACAACTACATTGAAGGTTTGTTTTTATTTTTATTTTGTAATACAAACTTTTGTTCCATAATAACTTGTAATAAGCTCAAGATGTAGATTATTAAATGAATTATTACAACATATAGCCTAGAAGTAGGACCACATTGTAAACCATCGAAGGTATAACACACTAGAACAGGCCATGTGATTGTGGTTAACACACTCATACTGAGTGTAGGCAAACCTTCACCTTCTGGAATTTTACACGTGCTGTTTTGCTCTTTCGTTTACTTCTTCCTGTGATCAATACCCGGGCAAAGCCCGAGCTCTTCAGGAGGAGGTTGAGATTATAACAATGTCAGCTTTTGCTTTTAGCGGAGTGATGAGGTTATCAATAATGCATCGGAGATCTTGGGAACCTTCGACATGCACGTATCACAGCTGCCCCACATTTACTGTAGGACTTGCCGGCTTGAGCTGAGTTGTCACCGCATCTGGGTTTGAGGAGCCGTTGATGCAGTCTCAAGTAATCTTGGGCACATAGGGAAAGCTGCTGAGATTATTTAACTGAAACGTTGCATTTGAGGAGGTTATTTAGGAGTGAGAATATGTCTATGAAATTGCTTTTATTAAGAAGGCTGTTCAATATTCCTTTAATAACTTTTTGTCTCCCTAGCTCCCTCCTAATGTTTTTAAGTTTTGTTGTTTCTCTGACAAGTTTATTCATATCCTAACAGCTTGTCTGGCAGCAGGGTTCATGTTTTTTACTTGGGCTTTCTGGTCACGGTGGTGGCTGAGAGTAATGGAGAGGGGGAATAAGTGAGTGTGGAAATGCAAAGCTGTCTCTTGTTACATTTTATCGATCTCATTCTGGTGTCATTCAATTAAGACAGAAATGTGATGGATAGTCTCTGCACAGATTCCTGGGTTGCTCTCCATCCATTGCAGATAAAGCTTTTGTGTTTTATTTTGGGGGAAGGGATGGGGAAAGGGCATGGGCAAGTGGGAGAAATCAAATATGCTATGTGATCTGAATTACAAATCAATGTCTCTCTAAGGACGCTCCAAAATGTCAAACATGCCATGTTTATATTTTCACATACACAGAGTACTTCTGTTGATGTATGAGATGGGTTACTAGAATTTAAGTTGGGGTTAATTATTGTTGATTTATTTTCAAAGACCTATGAGCTAACACCACTCTTCTACCAGCTCAAGATAATTAAAAATGAGCCACATAGAAGGACACTTGAATCCAACTTATGCCATTTTGAAGTTTGCAAAAATGAGAAATTCTTTTCTCATTTTTTAATGAGACTGTGATTCTAGGCTGACCTTTTTGCAAATAGATTTTAAGGCTGATAAAATGAAAATAGTATGTCATTTTTTTTTTTAGTTTATAAACAATTCATTCTAATCATTGCCTATGTTATCAAGAAGTGTACTATTGTGAGTAAATTTCAGAATTTAGGATGGTATGAATTCTGATCCTTACTCTTGATGACGTATCTTTCCTTAACTGTATCGCTGCCTCTATTTGCTGCCAGCGTTATAACAAGGATAGTGGGAATTCATGGATGTGAGAGGCTCTAAAAGTAACAATTCATGTGAGCAGTGTTTTTAAAGACATTAAAATAGCTACTGCATATAATAAAAGCAGGATATGTTAAGCAAACTCCCTTGTCCTTCTCCAAACAATGCCAGATTCAAATTGAGCATTCATAATTTTCTAATCGAGGTTATGGCTTCTGATAATTAATCCACACTAAAAGGCAGTATGGAATAAAAACATAAGCAGGAGTTTTGATATTAGATCAATATGTTAATGTCCAGGCTCCCTTATATACTTGATATGTGACCTTGAAAAACATGCATGCAGCCTGTAGGTTAAACCTTAATTTCATTATCAGAAGAATAAATAGCATTGCTCTGAGAATTATGAGACTAAGAATATGGAAATGATTGCTCCATGCTTGTCCTGTGTACTTGGCCCATGGGAGACATCCAACACATTTAGTTTTATTCTGAATCCCCCTTTATGGTTTTGACACTGAGTAATTTGGCCCTATAATAAGCTTGCTCAGTCATTTGGGAAAGGAATGTAAGCAAAGAAAAATAATACACTTGGGTCCTACCACTGTGAGTCAAAAATCTTCCAGATCCTAATTCACAGAAGCTAATTTACCAATCTGTGTGATTTTTTTTTCATTCATTTTACTAAAAGAAATAATAATAATAATTGTCACTAAAAGCTTATCCTAAAATTTTATTTATGGAAGGCACTCAGTGTGTTCTGTCTTAATCCAGATTTATCAAAGATTTTAAACTATTATGCTTTGATCCTAAAATTAAAGAGCAGCTGCTAGTTAAAGAAGTTATTTACTAATTTTTCAAAAATTAAACAGCACTTGGAAATGATTTGGGTGGGAATTTAACTGAAAACCCACATTGTAACCCACTCAATAGTGTAGAAAACACAAAAATCTCATGCTGCTGGTATATGCCTTGTAGGTATTGTTAAAAACTATACATATATATATGAGGTGGGACCTGACTCTCTTTATTTTTACTTTTTCTTTTTATTATTATTATTATTTTATTTATTTATTTATTTTTAAAGACGGGGTTTCACCATGTTGGTCAGGCTGGTCTTGAACTCCCAACCGCAGGTGATCCTCCCGCCTTGGCCTCCAAAGTGCCTGGATTACAGACATGAGCCACCACACCCAGCCTATTTTTACTTTTTCCTTCTGAGGTTCTGCATTTTTAAATTGGATGTTTAAAGAAAACCATCATTATGAGTCAAGGCTTACCAGATATACATCAAAGTAGAATTGACATCTATTTAAGGAAAATACATCCATAAGACGTAGGTAGTATATAAAGAAGTTTTTTTACATGATCCAAACATAAGACATAATTAGAGCACGTCTGGGAAAAGAAAAGGATGTATCCTAAATATTTCACATGATTTTTTTCGATTGTCTACTTTGTTTGTGCTAAGACTGCTTAATGTATCCTTTACAAAATCACTACCAACACTTTGACTGAAGATGTAATGAGAACAAATTTCTACACTCTCACATCATCATTGTGCACTCATTAAGTATTACTGGGTAAGGAACACACCTGTGTGCTTGTGCTGGGAATTAGTGTGAATCATTTTATTCATTTCATAGAGGGCATGAATAGTACTCCTTGATGTCCCAGGATAGTTTTATAGTTTTTCCCATGTAGGGTAGGAATTGCAGTGGTATGTTTGGTCATTCTCATATCCTTTGAGCTAGTTCAGGTCTAATCTGGGTGTGGGTGCTTTTCCACTCTTTTGGATCCAAGAAGGTGCTACTGAAAAGCAACTTTCCAAGTTGTACTACATTCAACAGCTAACTGATGGAATTTCAAATATTCCATAAGGTAGGCTTTAAAAAATTACAAGTAACTATGATTTACAGAATTTACAGAAACAGAGGCTCTAGTTTGGGATCTTACCTAATACATTGTAAGTTTCAGTGTTCAGTTCCAGAAGAACATATAATCTAATCATGGTGGCAATATTGCCTCCCCTTAAATTCTTAAAAATCTGTTTTCATGGCAATTTACGAGATAGTTAAGCACCAGTTGCCGGTGATATATGTTTTTCTTTTTAAAAATTCTTTGCTGCCTGTAGTTAATATTAAAAACTTTATTGTTGTTTACATTCCATTTCTTTTTTTTTTCCCATTTATTTATTTTATTGCATTTTAGGTTTTGGGGTACATGTGAAGAACATGTAAAATTGTTGCATAGGTACACACGTGGCAGTGTGATTTGCTGCCTTCCTCCCCATCACCTACATCTGGCATTTCTCCCCTTGCTATCTCTCCCCAGCTCCCCACCCCCCACCATCCCTCCCCTATTTCCCCCCAACTGACCCCAGTGTGTAGTGCTCCCCTCCCTGTGTCCATGTGTTCTCATTGTTCAACACCCACCTAGGAGTGAGAACATGCGGTGTTTGATCTTCTGCTCTTCTGTCAGTTTGCTGAGAATCATGGCTTCCAGGTTCATCCATGTCCCTACAAAGGACCCTACAAACTCATCGTTTTTGATAGCTGCATAATATTCCATAGTGTATATGTGCCACATTTTCCCTATCCAGTCTATCATCGATGGGCATTTGGGTTGGTTCCAGGTCTTTGCTATTATAAACAGTGCTGCAATGAACATTCGTGTGCACGTGTCCTTATAGTAGAACGATTTGTAATCCTTTGGATATATACCCAGTAATGGGATTGCTGGGTCAAATGGAATTTCTATTTCTTGGTCCTTGAGGAATCGCCACACTGTCTTCCACAATGGTTGAACTAATTTACACTCCCTCCATTTCTTTATAGGCTTTCTTTCCAGTTAGAATACAAGCTTTGTAAAGTAAAAGACAATTGCAGATGATAAAGGAAGTCTGAAGTAATCATGATGACAATACTTAGTGCCCTCAAGAAACAGAAGGTTTCTATATTCTTATTTCTTATTTTTCGTTCATCAAAGAGGATTTAAAGGAAGATGTCATCACTTAGACCCTGGCAGTTCCTTCTCTTTTACACTTAAACCTCTACTTTATGTTATTGAACTAACAAGATGT